CTTTTACCTATCCCTCATCCTATTTGACCGCCCTTCGCGCCGATGACCTTCTCAAGGCGGGTCCAAAAGCACGCGCATGCACGTGCAACCTCCTGCTTGTCCATGATCGCCCATCAGCTTCGTACCTTGCACTGAAGACCGTTTTTACTGATGATAAGTTGTTCATTAAACTTCTACCAAAAAACGCTCCATATAAAGAATTTGGTCGGATTTAAATCGGCGGAGTTGAAGGACCAGAAGTTTTTGGTTCATCTCAGGTGGAGGTGCCCTACACAATAACATGTCGTCCTCACTGCAGTACCAGCACGGACAGAGTCCTCGTAAGACGTGATCTGGACCGTCAGTGATCCTCTCTTCCGACGACTCCACGTGAGTCTGCCAGAGTGTGGATGTATTTACCAGAGGTGCTCGTTTTATCCGGGCTCGATGAAGTAGGGTGCACCACGTGCACCTCCCTTGAAGACCACCCATAGGTCCATCACCTCAACAGGATGTTTACTTTGCATGACCGCTGCAATATTCTCGATACAATCCCCTATATGGCATGCCATTCTTTTTTATCGTATTCCAGTCGGTGATAAGATTTTTGGTCGCTGAAGTTTTGAACATTGTTTCTTTTTAATATGCTCAAGAGCTTCTTCCTTATATTCAAGTGAGTCATCTTGTATGTCCTCTGCTAAGAGTTATTTTACGACGATTACGTTAACTTTTTGTCCTAAGTATCCCCACACAATCCTTATCGTCCGTGATAACACGTTGATCTGTCCAGCAACCTTTACGTGGAATGGCATTGTTTTAAACAAAATGTTATTGTTTTACTCGTTTAACATTAGTGTCTATGGGCGCGCGCAAAGCACTTGGAGCACCGTCGAACTATTTTGCTGCTCTTTTCCAGGAAGTTGCATGCTCATGGATGTAGTCATGTCAGATGATGCACAACTTTTGGGCGTTTCATTGCCATGATATAATTTATCAAAATAATGCCATGCCTACTCATGACCAGAGCCCAAAAAGCATTCCCGATTATGCTGCCCCACCCTGTAGTAGGTATGTAATTATTACTATTGACTGGAGACAATTCCAAGTGCATATTTTCGAATGGATGTGGTAAATGGATGAGGTATAAGGTATACCTATCGTGCACCGTCAGCATATAAGTCTTTGAAGCAAGAACTGCTGCGTATGTGGAAGAACATGGTTTTGTGCATCGCATCAAGCCAGAAGTATAACATGCCCGTATGACGAATATTTCCACATTGACCATAACAATCATGGCAGTTGCACGATCACGCAGATAATTCGAATAAAGCATGATCGCCAACCAGATTAGCTTTTACAGCCCATATATGTCCATCAGTTAAGTTAAAAATACAAAGAGTTGAATTAAAGGCAAATAAATGTATTTATATATAAAAAAAAAACACCGACCGCAAAACATCTGCTCACATGTGCATGCAAAGGTCTGGCCCACTTACATTGCGCGCGCAGGGGAAGGGAGGCGTCTCGACCGCGGGTATAGGCACGATTAGTGCGTCCCGCAGGCCAGAGCGGGCCTCACTCACAGCACGAACACCACAGTTCACAGATTTCACTTTTTACTGCACAAATACTGGAACAGCCCTCGTCGCTGATCCATGCTGCACGGCGGCCGCGCGACAACTGCTGGTTTGAACGGTTTGAAACCGCCGCGCCGGGGCCGGACGGCGACCGCTGATTGGTCCGCCAAGTCTGACGTCACGGGCGCAGCTGACCATGTGTATGCTGACCAGCTGACCAGTACAAGTTAGGCGCCGCACAGTGGCCCTTTTTCAGAATTAGCACGCATTAATTCCCACATTACCTGAAAGTGGTGCAAGACATCACCACGTGATCAAGGACGTATTCCCTGCCAATGCAAAGACAAGAAAAGAAACGAACTGCCCAAGGAGATTCGGCCCAACAGCGACAGGCCGCTCGGCCCAAGATTTGGCGCACGTTCGCACGGCTCGCCCGCCGGCCCAGGCCGCTCCGAACGCAAGTGTGGCGAGCCCGCCAGCCGACCGCGCTGCACTGACCGCCAGGACGCCTCAGGGCGTCACGTGACCGCATCTGCAGCTGTTGCCAGCCACCGTTAATCGGCCCCGGCCGGGCAGCAACTAAGGTCAGCGCGACGCGAACAATACAAACACATAGGCGCTTTTGACGTTAGATCTTAAGCCGACCACGGGACTTGTGCGGCTTGGACATCAAACGCGACAAGAAATCGGACAGTTTTTCTTGAGCACAGCGTTATGCCTATATGACATTTCAATAAGCACATCTTATGGCAAAAGTCAAGCCACATTTAGGCGCCCACCAGGTGACACCAGCTTCGAGCCAGGTCAATGAGCTTAGTCGTATCGAATAGGAGCCACAGCCGCTCGCGGACTGAACTGGCTCACGTTATTCACCGTAGAAGCAAAATGGCGCAAAATGGCGCGATGCCCTTTGGTGGACATGGTCAGAAGAGATCGGCGATTCGAACGATGTATAATACGATATGTCCCAGAGTGTGTTACTTAACATAAAGCTTCATATGTATGCCGCCATCTCCAGTTAATAATTGTCCTGTTATTGTGTCCACAATATTCGGCAAAAGTGGTCTATTTAAGTTTATACAATGAAAATTGTGGTTTCTAGGGCTTCTACGTAAACTCAGCTTCACAGCCATGCCACTAATTTTTAATATTTTCTCACCGAAAGCCTTACAAATTGATGTTCATCTCACCCTACTTTTTAGGGTCCGCCGGTGGTGTCCGCGCGCCTCTCGACAAACTTCGATTTTGCGGTCAGTTTAACCAAAGATAATTATTTTTTAGGAGGTAAAAATGGCACCATCGGATAGTTTGGAATGTTTTGCACACGATTAGACTGCTTGTTACTCAAAAGAAGAAAAAAAATATTTTGAATTTATGCGTGCTAATTCTGAAAAAGGGCCACTGTGCGCCGGTTAAATAACCATGCGGCAACAAGTTTCCAAAACTGGTTAAGAAACAAACGTTGAAACAAATGTAGAGTTGGTCTGGATACTGAGAAGTTGGTGTGCATAGTAACTATTGACTCGTAGTTGTCATCTGACAAGCAATGCACCAGACAACGGCTTGTTTGAAAAGTATCAGTTGGTAAACATACCAAGAGATGATTGGTTATATTACACAAGACTTGTCAATTTGGTTTACAGTGTAGTGTATTCCGTGATCATCGCACAACTGAAACTTTCAAATGAGGACACAAAAACAAGTCATGCGATGTTTTGTGAAAGGGAAACTATTGACAATGGACTTTCCAAAACATATTATCAAAGAAGGACATCAGTAAGGTTAGCTTAGCCGAATAATATAGCTGAAATTGATGCCTACGATGATAACAAACGCCGTTATTTTACCTTTTGCTTTTGAATCCTTCAGAAGGCGTTCGTTCGGAGTGAAAACATATTTATGGGGAAAAAGTAGGGGTTTTCTTTGCAAGAGCATTCCTGAAATAATATGATAGGTAGTATAGTTAATATTCTAAATAACAATGAATCTTGACATCTCATTCAAAGGAATCTAAAACATGCCGTCAAAGAATACCCTACAATTAAGAAAACACGCAGTAATTGAATAAATATTATTCACATATAAAATTGCCACATACAAAATATTCGTATTTTTATCCTTTCAGGTTTTGCGTAACAACTCAAAAAATGAATTTTCAGTTAACATCCATAGATATAGGTTAACCCTATTAGTGGCAGGGGGGGGGGGGTTGTTTTTATCCACCCCTCAGGTTTTTCGGGAATATCTCCGAAACCGCTGAAGCTACGATGCTGAAATTTTCTGACTTTTCCTAAAACTAAATTAAGCACATTCCCTGAAAATTTCAAGTTCATAACCTTACCAGGGGCGGCTCCAGAGCACTGGGAATTGGGGGTCCTATTCGTGAAGCGAGTCATTTGGGCGAAGATCACGATGCTGCACCAGTTTTACGAACAGTGAATGAAAGGTATCATGTGATAACATATACAAAGTTATTGTGCATCCTCTTTTGACACGTTTTTGCTATAATAGGCGGATCCAGGCGTCCAAAAAGGGGGGTTATTTTTTACCTCCCAACATAGGTGCCCTGACACCGCCTATGCAAGACCAATACAATTTTAGTCGTTCTCTCATAAGAAAATTGTAACATAACAAGACCATTGCCACCCTTTTTAGAAACAGTACCAACAAAAACCTTATTTACTATACTTTTTGTGTACCCCCAATCTCAATGATCTGTATCCGCCTATGATTTTTGAAAATGCATATTTTTAGGATCCATGTGAATTCCTGGTTCATTCTCTATCGATCGGCAAAAGTTGCGTTAAGATTGGTTCAGAAACCTGGCCGTGATAAACAGTCTAAAATGTATCTGCAATTTGCCCGTTTTTACCCCCCTCTACCCCTCTATTGACATTTTTTACTTTTATTTTTTTTTAGAAATGTAGATCTCGTTGAGCCAAATCGAATGCCGTTTGAATTTTGAAAATCGACCGGTTAGATCTCGAGATATCAAGGGGGGGTCGTAAACAGCCCCCCCCCCCTGCCACTAATATGGGGTAGCCAGGAGCCTGCCACTAATAGGGTTAAATGTAGAATCACAAAAAAGCGTCGCAAGTCAGATCGCTCTTCTTTTCATCACAGTTTCGTTTCAATCCAAATCGGGTGCTTCGAATGGTCTCCGTTTAGCTCACTTTTGCAGAGCCAGCTAAGGCTCGGAACTGGTAATCAACAAATCACCCACCAACTCTACGAAACGACGGCCATTTGGCGCTCGGCTTGGAAGTGTGTTGGTATCTTTTCATTTGAGGACATGATTGGAAAACTAAAAGAATACTTTCTGGTAAATCGCTTCAATATTTCTTAGACTGAAGAACAGTCCAATAAACCGACAGGCTGAGGCTGATAATTCCCTTCAAGACCGCTAGATCATCCATAGTATTTTCCCCGAGTCAGGTAACTCACCTGTAATGCGATATCCAGCTCCGCTCGGCACTCCCTGGGCTCGCGCTCGTCTCCGATCCCGTCACACTCGTCAGTCACAGTCACAGGCACGCCCCAGATCGTCACGCGCGCCCCCGGAGACCCGAACGCCGGCACGGCCGCTAACCGACTGACGGCCGGTTTGACGTCACGCGGCGCGGCCGTCAGCTGAGCCGGCCGACCTGCTGACGTCACGGCCCGACAGCCGTCAGCTGGCTCACAGGAGACCGGGGGGGGGGACGAAGGGAGGGGGTGACATGCGATCAGGAACAGAGGCGATGGGTTTCGTGAAGAGTGGGGTCAGGGGGGGGGGGGGCTAGCAAGGTTCACGACTTGCAATGCATGTCTCGGCAAAAGATGGAAGAACCACACAATGGACTATAAAATGGGATGAGAACAAGAGAAACAAAGAAACCGAAATGATTCGGAGTGTTCATCAGCAAACAGACTTGTGATGTTCCTTAACTTCCAGAATTAGCTTCAGTCCCTCCGTGGAAAAAAATCGAGGAAAGTTATTCAATTTTGCTATACAGATAGCAATGTGTTACTCCTTACAAATATCAAACAATAAAAACTGTGAAAATATAGGTAGGTACCTATCAAATGAATATGAAATAACCAATTTTATAATGACTATTTTCGAGATGTGAAATAGATAAATAAGCATTGGCTGCGATTTATTATCAATTGGATGCTGTTTGTGAGCATCCCTTTCAGTAAATTACTATTGGACACCGAAAGTGTCAAGCATTTCATGAACTTCGCCAATTAATCTTGCATCCTGTGAAAGCTTGAGACCTTGTATCAGACCAAGAGGACGCTTTTAACCCGCGCCCCGTAGGGGGGGGGGCCGAAACGGCCCCCCTGTCCTTTTCGGTCGATATCTCCTAAACGGCTGGAGATATCGCCACCAAACTTTCAGGACCCCTCCGGGCATCAATTTTACACATTGTGACCAAAAATTTTTCCAGAGGCTATGATAGGTTGGCCACAAATGACGTCAGAGTGACGTCATATTCTGTCATTTTCGACCGAAAAAAGACCTTCGCGAGAAGACCTGTCACGCCTACAGCTTAGAAGATACAGAAAAATGATCAAGACATAAAAGGTGTAGAATTGACAGGGTTACAAAACTGCTATCTCGGATTTTTGAAATTTTGGAGTTTTGACCCCCAAAAATCAAAAAAGCATTTTTTTTTATATATTAGCCAAAAAATCCAAAAAGTTTTTTGAGTTTCGAAAAAAACCCGGAATATATGTGATAGCAATTACCGTCTTCTATCTACATACCAAATTTCAGATCGATACCTCGTTTTTTGGCCAAGTTATAGCGGAAAAACTGTTCAAAAATGATGACGTCAAATTTTCAAACTCAAGTTTTGGCAATTCTAGACCTCGTAGAGCAAAACAAAGACCACCATTAGACTCCCCGTGACGAGCTGCATCGAATCGATACCCATTTTATGCAAAAATATCAACTTTGAAATTTGACCTAATTTGACCTGACCTTGACCTGACCTTCACCAAAACGTGACCTAGGCTGGCCCCAAAGGCTGCCCAACCCACATAATCGCATTTTTCATGTAAAATGGACCATAAAACATGTATCACATGACACTTTCATATTGTGACCCCCGGTGATCTGACCTCGCTGTGACCTGACCTGGTATCAGTGACCTCAGATAGCAAAGTATGTGTTTGACGAACAATGTACCATCAATGGTTATCAATAAATTACCAATTTACTCGATTTCACAACACATTTCTTGAAATGCCTGTGAACAGTGAAAATCTGACCTTTGACCTGACCTGTGACGTCATCGGTTTGACCTAGGTCAATGAAATTTGGTCACAAGGTAGTTCCCGGGTGGGGCTATCGAACGCCGTTTAAATTTTGAAAATCGGACGGTAACTTTCCGAGATCTTAGGGGGGGCCGAAACGCCCCCCCCCCCCCCCCCTACGGGTGGTAGGGTCCGCCGGTAGCCCTACGGGGCGCGGGTTAAGGAGCAGAGTTAGCGTTTATTGCCAGGGCAGGAGAAACTCGTTTTGGCAACGTGCATGCCTCCTGTATAGGGTAATAAAGAGTCACCATAAAGGCAACAACCTTGACGAAGGTCATCCGGCCATTCGGAAGACGGTGACTCTGCTGGACACCTAAAATTCACGGCAGGCGTCGAGTCCAGGCCTGGCATTTAACCCGTTATTAATTAGCCGCGCTGGGATTGGATCTTTAAATCCGGCATGCGAGTGGCGACCATGTCACATTCATTTTCAGCTAGACATTCGAGTACCGCCAATTTAGCTTTGTCAGTGTCAGTGTCATCGTTTTATGGTCGTTGGATCTGGCTCGTGATTTCATTGTTATTGGAGTTCAGCGACCTTGGCTAACAGAAGGGTATTGGTCTCTCGTAAACGAGCTGAGATTTATCGACAGAATGGCATATTATAGCAGTAATAACGGATTTTTCTTTCGGCTCTGATACTCATTTCAGGGCATATGCTGGTTCTTAATGTCTGTTCTTCCTCGTAATATTTCTCTTCCATGTGACTCATAGATAATTGTGTTTGGAAATTTGCAGGACAACTAGGTGCGTAACATCGTTTTTAGTTTTGACATTTAATTGGAGTCACGTTGGAGTGACATTGGGGTCACAAGTCACATTGGAGATGTGGCTTGAAAACAAGTCATACTTGCTTTCAATCTGTCCCTTGCTAAATGCTAACATTCTACATTGCTGACGTGACTCCATCAAACAGAGCTGAGGCGTCATCAGTTCTTCTCAGCCACCATACACCGGCACCGCGAGGCGCGAACATGAAACCACCCCCCACCCCGACAGACCGCGGACCGCAGTGTCGTGCTCTGGTTTCAGTTACATCCTGTCCGGACCAGGAAACCACGGAGAGCTGTTCTCTGGTTTCAGCCACATCCTGTCCCCGTGGGGAAGCACACACGAAATAGAGCCGAGAATGGGAGGGTCTTGCCGAGACTGCCGAGAATGGAATAGAATGGAAGGGCGCCGAGTTTTTTTTTAGCGCCGGCGAAACTTCCCACTGCCTAGTTTGGAATAATATTTATGGCAGCTTCGTATACATCCATGTATGTAGTTGTATCAAATATGACAGGCCCACGCTTGCATGCACTTTCAAAAAACTACACCTACTGTAAGCTCATGTATAGCTTGAAAGCTCAGTGATCACGCAGGAATAGAATTCCTTGTAGCTCGTGCGCCATCAAACACTGGTGAAAGCCATCGGCCACCGCCGCAGCAAACGGCAGGGAGAAAACAAATCCGGTGCATTATCCTGACATCTAAAACTTTATCAGCATGCATGACTTGGCTTACAGAGCTTGTCGAACAATTCCCGACAGGTTTCACACGTCTCTACGCGGCATGTAATGCATTGCGGGGATGACTGGCACTGGTGTATGCCGTGCTTCCCGCGGTAGGGCATACCGACCAACTCAGGCGAGAAGACCACACAAGCTTCTGTGCCTAGTGACACACATAGCGCGTTCCTCCCCCACTGCGAAACAAATCAATGTCGCCTCCATACTACGCGGCGATATTCTTACACGTTTTTTTTTTTAGAAAGCTAGCACACGCACAGCGGTGTGTTTAAGCCTGTTAATAAACCTTAGAGCATGCATGCAAGTACTCAGATCCCTGTTGCGAGGTTTACCTTCTACATGACCGCGCTAGCATCACTCAAGTTTACTGGCCACCCCGGTGTCAAATGATGACGAAAGCAGGACAGGGGTAGCAAGCTAACCAGCTTACTAGGCTCTAATATTGGGCAACACGATAGCTCACGGGCCGGCCTGCGAGACATGCCCGCGTTGAGTAACTTCCAGTTGACGCCTGCCGGTCTCCACTCTCAGAAGAGGATCGAGTGAGGGCGATTTATCTGCGTGTTTGTCGCACACGTTTGCCGCGGAGTTAACCGTTTGTGGGAGAAAGTTTGACAGACGGACGAGCCGAGGTCACTAGTTGGTGTGAACTGTGTGAGCAATGAGCTCCCGAACAGGCGCCCTCACGTGTGACGTGACAGCCAAGGCTCTGGAAAGCTACATCACAGACCCAACCAGCGAGATGGTCAGGAACAACCGGGCTGAGCTCGGCCATAAAGGAACGATAAACCATGCGCGAAGGTGTTCGTTACTCGGGCACTCCGAGCGCCGAGACGACACCGTTCGGCCGACGCAGTCCCACTTCTACGATCTGTCTCACCCATCGATCCGAGCCAGCAGAGACAAGGCGGTAATTTAGAAATCAATGGTGCGTGTAACGGCCCACATTGGACGACCAGCCTGCCAATAATCGGCCATTGTTCGCGAGCGAGCCGCGTGCCTTCCTTTTAAGGCCGCGTTCCCATCGCCACATCTGGCGACATATAACGCGGCTGGTTATTGAGGACTGCGCTGGCTGGCCAGAACTGGCGACTTATTGAGGGATGCTCTGGCATTACATTTGACTGTGGAACAGTTCGTCATGTTATCTTGTGTGAAAAGTTAAGAGACAAAATGGCACCACAAGGGATTCAGCGATATGATAAAAGATGGCGTGATTGGACTCTGGAGTCACATGGTCAACTTGACAGAGGGGTGACGAAACGCATGGCAAAACTGGTTAGAGCTATAGGTACAGGTCTCGCGAGATTAAGCGGTAGGTTTTGCACTTTTACATTTCCGCTTATATCTCAGAAACTAATCGATCTACGATGAAGCCATTTTACACGATCATGGCCGGCTTGTTACCCAACAAGTCGATCGCATCTTCAACACTTAAAAGCTTAAGACGACGAAGATATAGCCTGAAGTACACTAAATTTTCTAGGTGCAAAACCTACCGTTAAAACCCGCGAGACCTGTACGTACTCCTTTTACTCTGAAAGACCGATCTACGGCTCTGAAAAATTGACTCCTATATGAGTCTTTTGGTAATGAGGTGGACGACCTGTGACTGATCCCGTTCACGCTCACGAGAGTTGAGGCCGATTATTCCAGAGATAACGCTCGGCAAGGTCGTTCGAACGACCTTGTCGGAATGCGGATTTCATGGCTGACTGTCAAACCTGACAAGTTACTTAAGACGTTTATCCGAGAACATGTCATCTGAAATCCCGAAATGAT